AAAAGTTCTTTGAGCATGCGCAAAAGGTTCTGATTGGACAACGGGCTTAAACGACCGTGTGTAGAGAAAACAGAATTAGCCTCGTTTACATTATATACAGGAAAATACAGAAAATATTTTGTTTTTACGCTCATTTAATATTTAGCATTGCTCCTGAATTTTTAATTAGTTCAAGTATGGGACTTTACATCCTAGTCAGAAGATTTTGGATAGTTTCTATAGATATTTCATTCCAATCTACTTTGATACGAATTTTCAGCTCTAATGTAGAATTGAGTTGGTTACCATTCTCACAAACCTTTCTAGAAAACAATCCCCATAGGTTTTTAATTGGGTTTAGATCTGGACTGCATGCGGGGCATTCAATTACGTCAATATTTTATTGTCTAAACCAAGCTTTTGTAAAATTTGAATTATGGATAGCAGCATTGTAGTGTTGTAAAGTGACATTTTCACCCATCAATTCTTCACCATGTTCAAGCAAACTAGTTTCTAATAAGTCAATGCAGTCCTGTAAAATTCATATTTGTTAAAATTCATGCCAGTGGAAAATTTCCTACTAAGGAAAAAGCCCCCCAAACCATAATTGTTCCACCACCAAAGTTACAACTCATCTGGGTTTCTTCCTCTTTTCGAAGATCGTGCCAATATTATTGATTGTCATCAGGACCATCTAGATAAAACTTTTTTACATCACTAAAAAGAAGTTGATGCCACTCTTTTTGCTAAGACATGTGTTCTTTTGCAAATTGTAATCTAGCTTCTTTATGACAAACAGTAAGTTTTGGTTTTGGTTCACGCTTTTTTCGAACTATGTTTCAATCTCATGTAAGATTTGTCTCACACGTCGAACAGTTACATGTTATTGTAAATCAGCAAAAAATCAAGATGCAATCATGTGCTGAGCAGCAGCACAACATACAATAGCTCGCTTATTACAATTATCAATTTTACGTTTGCCACCACTACCTTTATAAGCTCCATAATTAACGCCCATCTTGAAGTAATTTTAAACCACTTTTGGAAATCTTTTAATTTTCTTAGCAGTTTCCTGATTAGATAAGCTTGTATGTTTGTATGCTTTGATTACAGATATTTCTTCATTTGTTAAACTTTATAAGCACTGATTTCACAGCCTTTGTTTAACTTACAAGTAATAATAAAAAATTAAGTCACCGCAATTTTGTAAATTATTATACATTTTAGGGTTTTATCAAATGTACCGCAATTTAATTATTCTATATTATAATCTAAAAAGTTATTGTTTGTAACAATAATTTTATATGTGTGGATACAAAATATGCACCACTCAAACTTGCTTACAGATTTACAAAATATTGGATTAGAACATAGTGAGGCTAATTCTATTTTCTTCACTGAGCATAGTGAGGCTAATTCTATTTTCTACTAGAAGATTGAAGGCAAAGTCATTTTTACAAGCTACATTTTAAACAAGTTGATGCTTTGATTAATGATTTTAAAAAAGCAAAATAGATTTACCTGACATCTAATTTAATTTATTTCCCACTCATTTTGAGGGATAGAAGGCAAGAAATAGGAAGTAATACATGTTGCTAAGGTGTTGTTGAGACCTAAATCACCATACTAGCCAAAAATAAAATCTGCAAAACACAATTTTAGCTTTTAAAAACCCCAGAAACCTATTTACCATTGAAAAGAGCATTAAATTTTGTACCAACTAGCTTTAAAAATTAAAATTTGATTTTTGCTCAAAAATCGACTTTTTTTTCCTGTGGTACCCCCTTACCCAAAAAATTTAAAGTACCCAAAAAATCTTTGTTCTAAATTTTGACTAATTTTGAAAAGATGGGTTTATTTTTCGATTTGTTGTCGTTATTTTTGTTTTCTTAAATTTTATTGTTTTAGCATGGAAATATTATTAAATATTTTTTTAATTGTCCGTTAAGAACCAAATACCACAACGCACATTAGGGCAGAATAGCTTCAAAACTGGACAAAAGTATTTTTTAAAAGAGTATTTTTTGGCTTTTAAATTTCTATTTTTTGGTAAGGGTTAACTTGTTAGACTTAAAAATTATTAGTAAGATTTTTAAAAAATTTTAATTTTTAGATACGGGACATCGTAACAACAACGTAAAATGGAGTATAATATTTTCAAAAAATGGTAAAAAAAATAGTAAACAAAAGAAAATCAAAAGCATGCCTGAATAAATAATATTAAAAAGTATTTAACTTGATTCACTTAATTTAAGAAGTTATTCGGAAAAAAAATCATTCAAAATTCGAAATTCATTTGATTAATCTTTCGATTACTTAGGGAAAAAAAATCATTTTAAAAAAGTTAAAAATTTTCGTAAAGTAAAGTTATTAATAAAAATCATCATCGCCATCACAACTACCCCCCCCCCCCCACCATCATCGTCATGATTGTTATCATCCTTCTCCTTCTCATCATCATTATCAACATGATGATGTTGATAATGATCATCATCATTGCCATTAATATATCTGGAGGTTTAAGTACTTTTAGTGCTCCTTTAGAAGCGTGTAATTTTTTTAAATGTAGTAGTAGTTACTGGAGAAAACGAAATCAGAACTCAATAAAAAAGAAATTAAAAAAAATCAGCATTTTTATCTTTTCGATTATATTTCCTAGAGTAATTCTCTATACTTTTTAAAGTCTTTATTGCGAGCTTCGGTGGCCTTTAACTAAACCTAATTTTGAAATTTCGTAAATGACGTAACTATGACGTTTACGATTTTCAACCAACAACTATTGATTTTTATATTTACATCTTATTAAAAGATTTACAAATAATTTTCCAATTTACTAAATCGTTGACCTTCTGTATTTTTGCCCTACTAAATTTTCAACGTACTGAATATTTAATCAACTATATTTTCATTTTTATAACTACGCCTTTCCGGTATGTATTTAGTATATTTTGTTGTTGATTTGAATACGAGCCAAATTTGATTAGCCTTGGCGCAGTGGTTGAAGCACTTTAAAAATACAGACCAGATACTCGGTTGAAATTTTATTTATATTAAATTGTTTGAAAATAAAAATATATAAAATTGGTCGATAAATAAATTGGTCGAAAACGAAAACGTCATAAATCGGTTGAAGATAAAAAAAGACTATAATTGATTGAAAACAATTTAGGCCTCAGTTGGTTGTCTAAACATTAGTTCCACTATTTAGTAGATGTTCTTTTTGTAGAACATTTTAGTAGGTCAAAAATTTTGTAGGTCTAATCATCTGACACGGCAAAAAAGACAATTGACCGAGGAAGCACAAGAGTTCAATATTCAGATAGTTAGACCTTTGAATTCAAGCTTTATTGTTTGTGACAATTTCTTTATCACTTCCACGAGCTTGCCACTTCTTGATTGGTAGTTTATAAGTTAAGTGCAAAATACATTTAAACATTCGAATCTATCTATAAAAGGCGTGGATTCGACCAAATAATTTTATTTAATTTTAATATATTAAAATTAAATAAAATTATTTACTAGGAGTATAAAATTAAGTACTAGGAGTATTTATCGATCTCTCTAAGGCATTCGATTTTGTTGATCACGGAATTTTACTTTCAAAGTTAAAAATTACGGCATTAAAGGCCTAAAATATAAGTGAGTTAAAAGTCATCTTTTTAATAGAAAACAGTTTGTTGTCGAGGAAAAGTCAGGAGCTCTTGATTCTGATTGCGGAGTTCCACAGGGATCAATCTTGGGACCTTTATTGTTTTTAATACATATTCGTGATATGAATAAAGCTTCTCATAAAATATCGTCAATTATGTATGCAGACGATACAAATTTATTCTACAACAATTCTAATGTAAAAGTATTGTTCGAAACAATAAACAAGGTCCGTCGTTATGGAATCAATTAAATAAAAACAATGTAAAAAAATTTAAAAAGCACTTTCTCTATTAAACGGCAAATTGAATTACATCTCCTTAATTTCTGACATATATGTACGTATTTTTGTATGTGTGTGTGTTTATGTGTATATGTATATATGAGTATATATGCATATATGAGTTTTTATTCTTCACGTAGTATTTTTCAGAAAAAGTATATTATTTTAAATTTACTAAAGCCATGTGGGCTTTAAATGTTATTGTAAATGGGCTCTATGAAAAAAGTGTGGTGACACTTTTTTCATCAGTATCTTCTTTAAGCCCCTGTCTGCTTTATATACAGTATTGGACAAAACATTTGCAACCAACATCGAACAATTCTAAAAAGTGTTCCTAATTTTACATGTCTTAAAAACGAAACGAACTATACTACCACAGCAAACAGTTCAGGAGTCTGGAGCCATAGCATGCTATGACATGAGCAAGCAGCTGACAGGTGACAGCACGCAGGCAGAATTTCGTTGACAAGTGCCATTTTGCAGCGGAAAAAACAGTTGCAACTTTTTTGGTTTGTTTCATTTTCTTAAGTCTGGTCCGTGTCAACGTCACGGAAGTTTTTTAATAATTAAAGGAAGTATCCAGAAGTTTTCAGAAGCATGCAGAAGCTTTCAGAAGTTTCCAGAAGAAGCATCCAGAAACATTCAGAAGTATCCAGAAACATTCAGAAACATTTAGGCGCATCCAGAAGCTTCCAGAAGCATTGAAAAGAAGCATCTAGAATCTTTCAGAACGGGTTTCACACAAGTTCATTTTACTATATATGAGGCATGTAAACCGACATGTAATTCAGTCAGTATATGGAAGTCAATTAGTCAGTATTATCAAGACAGTTTATGGAAGTGAGTTTTATCAAAGTGTTTTTTCAAAGAACATCAATACAAGAAGTGAAATACAACAAGTGTTTCATAACATCAATACAGTCCACATCCAACCAAGACGTTGTGTTCCACAGAGCATTACTGTATCCTCACAAAGTAAATGTAACACGGTAAGCCTTGAGAAGCGTGATTGTTTATTTTTATTATTTTTATGACTTCAAGTGCAAAAATGGCTCCCAACAGTCTTGGATTGGAACTAAAGCTTGGTTTCCAATAGTTGTAGAAATGTCTTACAACAGTTGTACAACATACCTTTGATTTGTTGTGCGGTAATTTGTTGTGCAACGTTGTGTTTCCATTATAATGAATTGCCGCTAATTTTTTAAATAATAACAAAAAAAAATGGCCGCCACTAGAAATTATGCTACTCAAAACTATCGACTTTTTGTTATACTTTTAATTTTAAAACGCCGAAAAAGGATAAAAAAAAGAAAACATCAGTTTTGGATGAGAGAACTATTTAAAAAACGTGTTCAGCAAGGTGCATTTAGTTCTTTGGTGAAAGAAATGAAGCTATTTGATAGAGAATTTTTTTATCGATATTTAAGAATGTCTCCTGACAGACTTGAACATCTTTTGTCATTAATTGGATCTTCATTAACGAAAAAGTATTGTCCCAGTAGAGATTCTATATGTTCGTCGCAAAGATTAATTATAACAATTCGATACCTTGCTACAGGAGAATCACAACAAACTCAGTCATTTTATTTTCGAGTTGGCAGAGCTACAGTTTGCCATATAATTGAAGAAACTTGTTGTGCAATATGGAAAGTTCTCAAGAAAGTCTTTCTACGAGCCCCAAATGACGTAAAAGAATGGCAAAATATTATTAAAGAGTTTGATCAATATTGGAACTTTCCACAATGTATAGGAGCTATAGATGGAAAGCATGTACGCATTGAAGCACCTGCAAAATCTGGATCATCTTTTTATAACTACAAGGGGTTTTACAGTATGGTTTTATTAGCAATTTGTGATGCTAAATATTGTTTCACAATGGTTGACATTGGGGCTTATGGAAGGGATGATGATGCTGCAGTTTTAAATGCGAGCACGTTTGGGAGAGCATTTAATAAGGGTTATTTTAATTTACCAAAAATTTCTGAATTTGATCCTAAAGTTCCACCAGTCCTTGTTGGAGATGACGTATTTGCACTTAAACCATGGTTAATGAAACCGTACCCAGGTAAAAATCTTACTGTTCAGCAAAGAGTTTTTAATTATCGCTTATCTAGAGCACGTAGAACAATCAAAAATAGTTTTGGAATTTTAGCAGCTAGATGGAGAATATACAGATCTCCAATTAAAGCAAAGCCATTGAAAGTGGAACATATAATAAAGGCTACTGTTTGTCTTCACAACTATTTGGGTTTAACAGATGGAGCGCATTATATTCCTACTGGTTTTGTTGATAGTGAAAGTCATTCAGGAATTGTTATTCAAGGAGATTGGAGAAAAGAATTACAAGATCAAGGGTGTTTGCTTGATTTCTCAAAATCAATAAGTAATAGATCTGTTTTTGATGTAATTGCAATAAGAAATACTTATAAAGATTATTTTAATTCATGTGAAGGAAGCCTTTCGTGGCAAATGGACTATGTTCAATCGTGTGGCCACAATCCAGTTAATAACTAGAATGTATGTAATAAACAAAACTTCCTAATAAAAGAAAATATGTTATATTTAACAAACCAATAATTTACTTTTTTTTTATATAGTTAAAAGATATACTTCAACAGTTACCTAATAATTAATAAAAGATTAACATTTTATACCTCCATGATTTTCTAAAATAAGTTATAGTTTACCACATCAATAGACTTAACAAAATAGTAAGCTAAATTTAGTCTATTCCAATGATTAATCAAAAGTAACTTCACATCTAATTTTACTTAAAATGTTATGTTTCTTGCATCAATAGGTTAAAAAGAATAGTAAGCCAGAGTGTGTCTTTTTAAACAAATTATCAACAGTTACTTCATAGTTTATTTACTTCTAAAGTACAGTTTTTCCACATTGACCAGTTAAGTAGAGTAATAGGCTAGATAGTTTCACCTCTGTCTGGAAACTCTAATTTAAGAAGTAATGTTTGTATTTGAACTTTAGCCAAGGCTTTAGAATAGTTGTTTAATCGCTTAAGTTGCGGAACTAATGATTTCATAAATAAATAATCTTCATCCTGCTCTTCAAGATTCGGAGTTTCAATATTGGAGTTAATTTTTTCTAATGTTTTCACTAAGGTTCTATCAAGTAAATCATCAGAATCCAACTTTTTTCTTTTTTTTTTGTTATTAGCGTGAATTGTTGACTCACTTGACTCTCCTTGCACGCAAGTATTTATACAGCTGTTTTCTGTGGTCACCTCTTCAGATATATGATCATTATTAAATGGATGATGAGTATTTTCAACTTGCTCACATACCATGTCAATGTTTTCTTCCAAATTCGATGTTTCTAATCTGGAGTCAGAAGGTAAACAAATACTGGTTGTTGTTTCGCGATGTTCTATAAAAGTATTTAGCCAATCGAGCTGAAGAAACTGAGGTGGAACTGAGTTCCTTCCAGAACCTGATGGAATATTTTTTTTTGATTTCAGCCACCTTCCATAACTACTTCGAATGCTTTTATATTTCTCTTCCGCTTGATTAGGAGATAAGTTTGAAAGACGACCAACTTCTTCCCGTGCATTTTTCTTTTTCCATTTATCTTTAAAATCTTTATTAAACTTGTCATACAATACTGGAAATTTTTGAACTTCATTCATAAAAGCTGCTTTAGATAGTTTTTCAAACACACATAATGGAGTTGTCGTCATGTTTTGTAAAAAATGAAGATGTTTTATTAACTTTACAGTTTTTGTGCAGTTTCCAATAAAAAATTAACTGCGCGACCAAAAAAACGGTTGCAGAAATATAATTTTTTCAATACTCACAACCTGAGTTGTACAACATGAGTTTTGTTGTACAACCGACGTAAAGTTGTGCAACTTACGGTATAAAATGTTTCCATTATAAGACAAAGGTGTTGTACAACTGTTGTACGACATTTCTACAACTATTGGAAACCAAGCTTAAGAAAGAAAATTATTGGCGATTACGTAAGTGGAATGTCACAAAAAAGTATTTGTGATAAATATCGCCTGAAAAAATGGACCGTATCAAGACTATGTTCCAAATATCGTTCTACGGGGAAGTTGACAACAGATAACAAAGGTGGAAAACCGCGTTCCACCACTTCTAGAGAGGATTCTATGATTGTCAGATCCGTCAAGAAGGATCCCTGGATATCATCAGTCGAGATACAAAAGCAATTAGAGCTGCCTGTATTGGACTGAAAAATCAGACGACGTGCTGTTAAAGCCGGATTGTTTTCTCGACACCCTGCAAAGAAACCGCTGATTTCACTAAAGAACCAGAAGAAAAGACTCCTGTTTGCTACATCTCATACTAACTGGAATGTGCAGAAATTGCGAACTGTCCTGTTCATTGATGAATCGAAGTTCAGTGATGAATCGAAGCGATAGCGTTTGCCGTGTACTTCAACCGGCCGGAAAACGCCTCAATTTACGTTACTGTCATAAGACCGTGAAGCAATGTAATAGCCTGGGGGTGTTTTTCTGCTAACGGTCAATACATCGAAACAACGGAATAATGGACCGTTTCATGTATAAAAATTTCCTGAAAGATGTTATGTTACCTCATGCTGAATGGAATATGCCAATAAAATGGGTTTTTTTGCAAGACAACGATCTGAAACACACTGCAAAAGTAGTCAAGTAGTGATTTCAAGACAACCACCTCTCGGTGATGGATTGGCCGCCTCAATCTCCGGATCTCAACCCTATCGAGAACCTTTGGGAGATCGTCAACCGCAGAATTAATCGTGAAGGTGTTCGTAATAAGGATCAACTGTTTGAACAAATCCAAAAGGGCTGGGCAGCAATTTCACAAAGTTTCATTGATCACCTTATCGAATCTATGTCTCGAAGATGTGAGGCTGTAATCGACAACAAAGGATTCGCCACGAAATGTTGATAGCGAAATACAGCTTGGTCAACATTTTGTGAAGTTGCACTTGTTTATCGAGAAGGAAATCAAATTTTTAAAATACTTTTGATTAGTTCATTAATTTTCGTGTACAAATAATGAACTTTGTGATAAATAAAACTTGAAGAATGTTGTCTCTAAACAGTTACATAGTTATTTCTTTAAATTGAAAAAATGCAGCACTTTTATATAAAGAAACTAAATTAGCATTATTTGCTTGCACTTGTTTTGCCCGATACTGTATACTTTTTGTGTAACGTAAAAAGTTTATTGTAATTTTGATATTTTATTTTTATATGAACAGCGAAATATATTTAAAATAAAAAAAAAAAATAAAAAAATTTTTTTTCCCAAGAATGCATGTTTAAAAAACAGCTCAATCACTGGATTATTATAAAATGCCTGTTTACATGAATTATGGCCTGAAGAGCTATCAAATCCTGGCTTTAAAAATAATTGAAGCTGGTTTAATTCTTTATTCTAAAAACCATAGCATATGTTTCTGTTACATAGATATTAGTAGGGTAACTAAATTTATTAGCTGCTTGAACCTTTTTATATGAGGGAAACTTTTCAGGGACACTTTTTCTTAAGACATCCTGTTAATACCTGGATAGTTACGTTTCCACCAAAACACTTCCAGTATCTTTACTAGATATTTGTTGTTGAGATTCAATTATTTTCTTATACGTCTTCCTATAGTTCTTAGCACATTTTAAATTTTTTGTGGCTGTTTTCAATAGTTGATGCATATAACAGTTTTTCAGCTTTCAAACTTTTTTGGTGACGCTAGTCAAAACAGATAGTATTGCTTAAACCTTTGGTTTTTTTCAGATTGTTTGTCCACAAAAATTTGAAGTCTTCTTTTTATCGTAGCAGCTTTCCCTTTCTCTATGTTGGTTTAAACAACTGTTTAACCAAATCTTATCATTTTTTTTTGTAATCTTTCAAGTTTCTTTAGTGATTTAATCCAACAGGGTATACACTGTAGCTTAAACAAAGAGATTGATTTATCTAACGCATTTAAATGTTCTTTTTCACATTTTGTTAGCTCCTTTTTTTTATGTTATTCACCTCCTCAAGGTCGAGAAAGCTCCTATAGTCGAGGAGCCTTCTTTATTTTGGCTACAATTCTCTCTTGATGAGGGGGGGGGGCAGGGGTGTCACACAAATTGCGCCAGTCTTAAATAAAAATTTATGAAAGATAAGATATGTTAGAGATATAGAACATGTAATCTAGATATCGTAATAAGAATTAAGAAATCGTGAAATTTAAATATACATTGTAAAGAATAAGCAAATTAATTATGTTGGCTCAAAAGAACTATAATTATAATAGTCTATAAAATAAAATAGGTAAATACATCAAGATTATATAGTATAATACAAAACGTGTATGTATACATAAATATAATGATAATAATAAAAAAGGGTGAATGTTATATTATTGTAGTATACATACATATATCATACATACATACATTATCGATGGCTATTATTTCTAAAATGTTGTTTAATGTCTGTATTATAGGTCTTGTTCCAATGGGAGCCAGCTGTTTAGTAGACACCGTAGTCTTATGACAATCTGGAAATCTTACATAACCATAATAATGATTAGCTTCAATGAGCTGAACCTTATTTACTGAATCTTTATGTTTACTTTGCATTGCATTTCCATTTATAAGTACAGGTCCTAGGTTGACAAGCCATGAAGGAATTGAGGACCCAGATGATATTTGTTGAAAATTGAAAAGGCGTTCTGTCGACTATAATTAGTAGAAGTACGTAATAGAGATATTGCAGCATGAAGTGCATCAAGTAGATCTCTTTTCCATGATGATACAGACAGATTTCGAGATTTCAGAGTCTTTTAACTTGCCCATTTCCGTCGGGTTGTAAGGAGTTGTTCTGCAAGTTGCAACTCCTTTTGATAAGAACCAGTGCTTCAATTCAGAAGATATCAATGAGGATCCGCAATCAGAATGAACATAGCTAGGCATACCAAACTAATTATTGTCTGAGTTGTCATATCTTTTACAGGATAAGCAAAGGAGAACGGGAGTATTCGTCTACAATTGTTAGCATATATTATTCAGGGGTTGAAGAAGGTTATAGACCTTTAAAGTTAATAGATATACATTCGAATGGTTGAGTTGTTTAAATTAGGTGCTCATCATTTGGGCAATAGTTCTTGGATTTTATTTTTTTACATTTTTTACAACCTCTACATGTTTGCTTTACATCTTCTACTGAATAAGGGAGGTTTCTTTATCGAATAAAATGATGGAGGCGAGTTACACCAGGATAGCTCAGAGCCGCATGCAAATCATGTAATGATTCTGAACTTATTGCTGCAAATCTAACAAAAGTTAATGTATCTGTACCACTATTACGTTTGCCAGGACGATAATGAATATCATAAGAATACGGAGACAAGGCTATTATCTGACACATTTTTTTATCATTATTTACTGCTTGATTTATACTCATAGTTCTATTTGAGTGGGAATTGAATAAGAGAGTTCAAAGTTCTTATTTTATCTGAAAACTGTTTTATTCATTTTGCATAGTTCGAAAACATTCCAATAATACGCTGTAAAGACTTTGTATTATTAGGTGAGGGTAACTTAATGAGAGGAGCAAGTCTCTGAG